GCCGGAGTTTCGCTACGTGGCCGGGATGCACGGGAACGAGGCTCTGGGCCGAGAGCTCGTCCTGAACCTCATGCAGTATTTGTGCAAGGAATACAAGAAGGGCAACCAGCGCGTCGTCCGGCTGGTGACCGACACTCGGATCCACCTGCTGCCCTCCATGAACCCCGACGGATACGAGGAAGCTTATAAGAAGGTGGGTGAACTTTATCCCATTTAATCATGGTCAATTGAGAGATTTTGGGCTGGTTTGCATCCTTAACATGTATTCAGGGAAATTGATAGAAAATCTCCAAAATACACATTTAGGTGTTTATTTTACTTCCTCTGTGTATCTGTAGATTTCTTATAAATTCACAAAAATCTAGCTTTAAGTGAAAGCTCTTTACACACAACCAGAATGGGAAGTTTTATTCTGATATATTTTAGTTAACTGTTTACCCTATTTCCCTCTAGTATGTACAAATAAATACATACATTTGAAAAAGGTTTTCTTAAAATGTGTAGCACCTTACTTTCCAGTTTAATTCCTTACTATACTCGGAAGGTTTTTACAGAGGATATTCTTCATACATATTATTTATAGAACATTATATTACTAAAAACATGGCAAATCAGTTTTATTATTGCAAATGTGCACATATTTGTTAAAATAATGCATAATTTGCATATCCAAACTGAAAAACTTCCGAAAATGTGTAATACAACAAATTAGTGTCTTAATGTTTGTGATAAACTGGGAAAGTTCTGTCATGATATCTTTTAGTTAAAATGTTACCCTTATCTGTAAAAAATGATTTTATTCATCAGTTTCTGACCGACTTTTCTGCTGCAGGGCTCTGAGCTTTCGGGATGGGCTGAGGGACGATACAGTTTTGAAGGAATCGACTTGAATTCTAACTTTCCGGACCTGAACAGCATCATGTGGGACGCCGAGGAGATGGCCACCGATAAGTCTAAAGTGTCCAACCACTACATCCCCATCCCAGAGTACTACACTCAAGAGGACGCCATGGTAAGCAAATCAGGCCTTCCACCTTTATTTCCAACACTATGCCATTTTTTAACAGTCATTTTATTTGAATTTTTTTGTAAATGTATATCACTTGGACACATTGATTTATAAATTGTTTTTATTTATTATCATATTATGTCAAGTTTGATATGTTAATCCCCCCCAGGTTTCACCAGAGACGCGTGCGGTCATCAGCTGGATGCAGGATATTCCCTTCGTGCTTAGTGCTAACCTTCATGGGGGGGAGCTGGTGGTCTCGTATCCCTTTGACTGCACCGTGGGCTGGGCCCCCCAGGAGGACACCCCCACGGCCGACAACGCTTTCTTCCGCTGGCTGGCCACCGTGTACGCCTCCACTAACCTGGTGATGGCCAACCCCAACCGACGCCTCTGCCACTACGAGGACTTCCAGGCGCACAACAACATCATCAATGGAGGAGCCTGGCACACCGTCCCTGGGAGTGAGTCTTTGAGTGAAGACATTCTTTTAAACCTTTTGTTTTGGCTGAAATTTCTCACATGCACATTGTTTACTTGCATGTCTTTCCTGTAGGTATGAATGATTTCAGTTACATGCACACAAACTGCTTCGAGGTGACGGTGGAGTTGTCTTGTGATAAGTATCCTCACGCCAGCGAGCTTCCCATCGAGTGGGAGAACAACAAAGAGTCTCTGTTGGTGTACATGGAGCAGGTCAGTCTGTGCAAAGAAAAAAACAACAAAAAACATTCATTTAAATCCAGCATTTTAAATTGTCGTATGTCTTAGATTCACAGAGGCATCAAGGGTGTCGTAAGGGATAAAATGACCAAACAAGGAATATCAGATGCTGTGATAAAGGTGGAGGACCACAACCATGATATACGATCAGGTCAGACACTCCGTTTTATATTTTATATTTAATATGACATTTGACCTCACAACTGTAATTCACTCTACTGAATATACAATACCGCTAGATCAAAATGTTGTTGCTTAACTCCTCTGCATAAGAAACCTCGCTGCTCTTCTGCTTTTAATGAAGAAATATTGTATTTTTTAACGATAAAAAACCTAGTTACAGCCCTATTTTAAATGTGATAAAAGTTACTCCTGAACAGAAATTAACCACAAAAAGCAAATTTCCAGGAACATAACATCACATTCTTTGTTTTTATTTCCTCAGCTGCTGACGGGGACTACTGGCGTCTGCTGAACCCAGGAGAGTACCAGGTGGTGGTCTGGGCTGAGGGTTACTTCCCCTCAATGCGTCGGTGCCATGTTGGCATGGAGCCACGTGCCACCATCTGTGACTTCACCCTCACCAAAATGCCCCTCCAGAGACTGAAAGAGATCCGGGCCAAGGGGTTGAAGATCCCACAGGACTTCCTCCACCTGCGTCTCCGGGCCTTCAGGCTCCGCAAGCTGCGCGCCTCCACCAAGGTCCTCAACCAGCGCAGGGAGGGCCAGAGGAGGCTGCAGGAGGAGAGGAAGGCCCGGGGGGCGTGACGGGGGAGAGTCAAGAGGCAGAAGGGAGATAGGGAGAGGGGCCAAAGAAAAGCCCCGGATATGAGCTCAAGAAGTTCAAAAGGAGAAAACTGACCTCTGGAAAAAGGGACTTGTTCCCGCTAGGAAGGACAAGATTAAAGGGTCCGTTCATCCAATTAACAAAATATATTTATTTCTGAATATCCCCAGTGATTTTAAAGCATATATATTGTGAACTATCTGCCTCTGAGATTGATAAGTGCTCATCATTTGGCTGTACTGACCCTTTAGGGCTGATTAAGACAGGATCCTTGTTTTTCTCCAAAACATGGACAAAATCTGAACTTTAAAAAAAAGATTGACAAAGATTTTGTGCATCTTCACGTTAAAAACAGCCTTCACTGAATGTTAAAGTTTAATTTACCTTTTGTTTTTATTCCTATGAACTGTTTGAGTAGACATAGCAGTTGCTGTAGTGATGTTGACGACTGAGTTGAGGATTTAAGTGTCAGCTGGTCTGATACTGTATGTGACATGTTTTTTCAAAATATGTGTCTTTTTTGGTTTGATTGACCATAACATCTGTAATAAATATTACTTATTTGTGTATCTGTATTTTACTGTCTAAATCTGCACCAAAGGGGAAGCTTTAGGCTAGGAATAACATTGGGCTAAAATTAGGGTTAACAAGATGCTAAAGTACAATCATAAGTTTCGCAAGGTTATAAAGATATTGATGGAACCAAACTTGTTCAATAACTCATTAACAAAACGTTTTGTTTCTTGGAAAGTGTTGTAAACATAAATGTAGATAGCCTAAGACTAAAACCAGTTTGAACTGTAAAATGACTGAACTCTTACCCTCGAGAAAGTCTGAAACAGTTCTAGTTCATTTGAGACAGACCTTTTTTTTGGTTTGTATTTTTATTTGTATTTCATTTTAAGAAAGCTACAAACAGAGAGACGGCCGTTGGAAAACGTTACTCTCAACATTCTACGACACCATAGCAACACTCTGACACTGTCCAAACGTTACTGTGTTAAGTGTGAAGGTAAAACATGACAGAAAGAGAAAAATTAGATACAAACTTTCGTTAACCTCAGAAAACTGTGAATAATGTTCATGGAGTCCGCTACACTGTGCTGCCATCTGCTGGTCTTCAATGGGACCGAGAAACGGCTGCTGATGGTACGTTAAACTTTCATGATAATGTGATATGCTGAATTTTCAGCGACGGTGACGCCCCACCTGGACCACCATATCAGGTAAATCTCTTGAGGTTTTGATATTTTTTAGTCCAGAAAAAGTTGCACTTCTCATCGACCTTACAAGTTCTTCTTCTCTAAGTCCGTTTATGTCGAAAGATGGTTCCCTAACTTCCCTCATTGTAACCTTTCCACGTTTTCTACTCTGATTGAAATTAGAAAATTGTTTTAAAGCAATGAACGTTTTAACAAAGGTATTTGAATAGCAGACACAGAGCAAGTTCTACCAGATAAAAAGCAGTCTGTTTATGTCGAAACTCGAAAGATAGTTCCCTCATTGTAACCTTTCCACGTTTCTACTCTGATTCAAATTACAACATTGTTTTAAAGCAATGAACGTTTTAACAAAGGTATTTGATTAGCAGACACAAACACTAGATGGTGAAATCCAAAAGTCACACTGGAGGATGCGGGCATCGATCCCGCTACTTCTCGCATGCTAAGCGAGCGCTCTACCATTTGAGCTAATCCCCCGGATGCTGTGTATGGAAGTAGCCACGATCAGATCGGTGGGCTGCAAGGGGTTTGAGTGTAATACATGGTATAATCTCTATTATTTGAAAAGAGGGGATTCAAATCCTTAGTAAACTTGTACATTTACTCAAGACTGAGAACAATTAATGAAGTACTCCACTCAAGTAAAAAAGTGAAGGTACTTTTACTTTACTTGAGTATTTCTCATTACTTTATGTACTCAATTTACTCATTACTTAATTTCGTAGGCAAATGTTGAACTTTTTACGCCACGACATTTCTTTCATATTTTTTAGTAACCAGTTACATTGCAGATTTAGGTTATTAATACAAAATATGGATCTACTAATATATAATCAAATATTATTATAGGTTGAGCTTTCTAGTAGTAGGCCTATATAAAGATATCAATTCAAATGAACCCCACTTTTACCAAGTGCAACACTGAAGTAATGAACATGTTAATGCATCAATTATAATAATTTATATTTGAATATATTTAAATATATTTAATGTATTTAATTTAAAATATATATGGTGCTTAACTGGGCCATTCCGCATAACGAGTACTTTTGGTACTTAAAATATGTTTTGATGCCAATACTTTTTTACTTGTAACAGAGTGTTTTTACACTGTAGTATAGCTACTTTTACTTAAGTCAATCATTTGAGTACTGCTTCCACCCCTGGTTATAGCATGCTAATGTAATGTAATTTAGTGAACATTTAAACCATGTGAACTTGCAATGCAAATCTATTTCACTCAAAATCAACCACCACAATTTATTTCACAACTGTTTATTTTATTCAAAACTCAGAAGATGAGTGTTCTGGAGATGTTTACATGGTCAATGAATGCAAGTTTGAGATCAGACGACAGCCAGTTTGCTAGTAGAAAAAGCAGGTGAAGGACAAGGAGACTTCCTTAGTTTAACTGGATGCTTAAGATGACCAGTTACCGCCCGGTCACAGATTGTATTAATACTGACTGTAAGCCAAACTACAACTCATAGCATATACCCTGGGCAACCCTTAACAGCAAATAAAAATAAAGTATGATTAGCAGGTAGACATGACAATACCTATCATGTGAAAGTGTGTCTGTGTTAATTCATTGTCAGGCTCCTTTATATTTTAGATTAAACATTAGTACTGCTACAATCTATAACCTTGTGGTCAGTCTGCAGGTGGCTTTCCACCTCTAAATTTAAAACTCATAGGCGTCTGCGTGATGGCCTTTAAGATACAACTGCCATTAATCAGGATCGTGCAACATCGGACAAAATCTCGACACAAATTACATTATACAAAATATCACTCTTTCAGTCAATGTGTAACATTCTCATGCTCAGATATGTTGCTGATCAATAATGAATAATCACAGAGCACTGATCGTACGCCTTGTGTCATTACACCACAGAATTTCCTTCAGTGTTTCTACATGCCATGAACGCACCATACCAGAAACTAAAAGCTTGATTCTTAATCAAACACAAACCATAACCAAAATAACACACATGGCCTCAGCTTTCACTTCATGTACAGTAAGTTATGCACCAATTTTGCTACAGAAAGTTAATCATAATGAAATATAAGTTAAATAAATAAGAAATAGTTATTAAAAAGTCACCTTTGTTACAGTTTTAGTAGCTCTGTCCTGACAGCACTTTAGAGCATTGTTGTTGCTGTGCTCTAAGCGCACAAAAGTCAAATAAATAACTCCATAACGAGCAAAGACTTTGTTCTCTCAGAAATCACAATGTAGGCAATATTTACAGACTCAAAATTCACTGTTTGCCATAACAACCTCCATGCCAGGCTTGGCTCGATTTGCTGCGTTACTCATGCTGAAATAACTGGGATATGTGGGACATAATTGTTACTGTGGAGGCAGGGAGGAGCAGCAGATGATGAGTATAGTGAGTAGACGGCCAGAGGGAGAATGGGGGGAGGTTATGCACAGATATACATATGAAAAAGAAAGGAAAAGACAGACAGGGAACAGGGATAACGGGTAGTATTTATAGGGAGCGTGCTGAGGGAGTAGAAAACAAATGAGGTAAATAATAAAAGAAGATGGAGATGTTGGGGAGGGGGGGTGAAGAGCTCAGTATTCATCCTGGTCCAGGTGACCTTGTTCCTCGAGGTCCTCATCCTCCGGCGGTGCAAAGCCATCCTTAGAAACCGAGAAAAGACAGTTAGGTTTGTCCAATGTCCTAAAGAGTTGATGGTCAATATCTGGTTTTGTTGTCCAGAACATAAGCTTGTTTAAGCTTATGTTCCAGTGCATAAGCTTAAACAAGTTTGATTTAATCCAAACCTGCTGAACCGACTTTTAGAATTATTACATTACATTGCATTTAGCTGACGCTTTTATCCAAAGCGACTTACAATAAGTGCATTCGACCAAGAAGATACAAATTACACTTTATGTGCATTAGGAGTAGGCAATATGACAACATGATTAACATTTAATTATGTTTATAAATGTTATCTGACAGGCAGTTTGCAACTTACTGCTGAGCCGAGGCGACTGGAAATATGGATTTGATTCATTTTAAATGAGGTAGCAGAGAGGAACATTTGCATTGCACACAATGTTTTCCTAACTAGAAAGTGAATGTGTTCCTTGGGTGATGAGACGAGACATGGCTGAGTTTGTCTCAAAGAAGGCCTTACTCTCTGAGGAAAGGACATGCAGATTGAAATGGTGCAGTGCAGCCTGCATGTGTTGCAGTAAAAGGATGCATACCTCTGTTGCGTAGAGAATGTTGATTATACTGGACAGGACGGTGTTGTTTTCACTCTCGTGTTCCTGGCAGATCAGCTCGATGTCCCGTAGTTTGCTGAAGTAGAAGTCTCGCTCTTTCTCTAATCCGTCCACAGTCAACTTCAACTCCATCAACTGAGAAAGGAAAGAAAAAATATATGTATTGATATAGGAAGGCAGTAGGCGAAAAAATAGGGCTCACAGCCTGTTAAAGTGGCATTATAAAAAGAGTTTGAAAAACAATTTGTCATCACAGCAAAATACTTTTCACATTAAAAGCAACATGATTTTCTTTGATTTTCTTCTTTTATATATATATTTGCATTTTAAGAAATTATATTGTTACAGGGCATACAAAAGAAAAGAAAGTTAAAACTCTAAAATGTAAAATAATAACCAACAAATGAGGAGACATTTTGACTTGTTATTAAAGTAAAGCAAGATTACTAAAAGATGTAAAAATATCCCGTGAAACAGTAGGTTTGAATATACTGTATAAGGACTCCATAGACATGAGAGAGTACTCTTGTTGTCTACCTGTTGATTTAGCTCCATGATCTCAGCATCACTTCCCCCGTTTCTAGACAAAGAGGGATTCTTCCTCATAACTGGAACGTTGTGTTGGACCCGCTGCGGTGTTGGCATGATTTTGGGAACTGTTGGAGATGTCCTCTGTGGTCCTTGGGGGTAAGACAGATGATCAGAGAGGTTTATCATTTGAATTAAAACAGATTTGTAATGTTGGCTTTACAGCAATGTGGCGATGGATAGAGCACATTATAGAGAGCTGATGTTATCAGCTTATAGCATAATGTTGTGCTTTTGAGATGCTATTTTGTTGTGAAACATTTTTGTCGTGTTGAAATTCTTTCACAACAAAACTGATACTGACAAAAAATTTGATTGCCAGATTGAATGTCCTGCTAAAATAATTAATACAGAAAAACCCTGCAAGTGCTTCAGCAGAGGTGTTAAACTCAAAGTCAAATCATGCCAACACAGTTTTAAAATTAAATGCAGTCACTTTGCCCATTAACAACCACACTGCTCACCAGTGACAACGTCACATAGCAGCCTAATGACACACTGCAAGTCAATTTACGTTGTCTGCCATGATTCTCAAGCATACATCTTTCACAGAGACAAAGCAAGCCTGGCTGACGTTACTGTTGTTAGTCAAATGAGACAAACTTTCTAGTTTCTCTGTCCAGCTTTCAGGCAGATATAGGGCTGCGACAGTGTTGCATCAGCTGCTTGATGCAGGACACTGGAGAGAGTGGTTGCATTTGATATTTCTTCAGATTTTCTTGCACATCTGCTGATTGTGATCAATTAGAATTGGGAAGACAAGTTGCAATTGGCATTTGCAAGTCCGTAGTGATTGCTAAGATCCCAGCAGTACCTGTACCATACCTACACGGTGTCATGTGGCTTGTGAATGCTGGGCAGTGAGATGGATCTAAGAAGACAGCAGTCAGTCTGTGAATCGTGCTGCTCACACCACTTGCACTTCAGAGCCATCCAAAGCTCAGCAAGCCCGTGCAGCAAAGCCGAAACTGTTTGGTTTACCTGCGTATCTCTTTGGTTTGTGGATAAAGTGATCACCTGGGTTGGGGGCAGGGTTCACGTCTTGCCCCTGTCTGGCTAGTAAAGGGTCATACTCCTTCCCATCGTAGTTGGCGTCGAAGAACTTCTTGAACCACTGCACGAATTCAAAGTTGTCCTGGAACTTCCCTTTTACAAGCTTTTCTACAGGAATTATCTGGAGGATGGAAACAGGAAATGCTTGAATATCTACATTTAATATAACAAACAAACACCTCTGACTCTGTAGGTTAGTTTGTTTGTGTTATTATGTGACTTTGGTTAGTTTGGATTCACCAAAGTCACAAACAAACTAACCAGCAACTCCCTTATTTTGCAAGCTAAAATGACTGTTTTTCTAAATGAATGATGTCTGGTAGTTTGGTCTAGTGCGTAGATAAGGGATTTTGTTCCTTGTTGGACAGGACTGTCCGACAGGATAAGACTAAAACGTGTTTTCCTGCTGTTTGCTATTTCTCAAAACTGTTGGTGTGCTGACCGCCATCTTTTGTAGGTAAATAACTGATTGATTATCACAACCATGAACCAACCCTTTTAAATACCATGACAAATACAGTGAAAAACATGATAATATGATAAAAGTGAACTGACTTTGTCCACACTCATCCTTTTGAAAGCTGCCTGAAGAACTTTGAAGTTGTGTATAGACTCATGCTCCAGCTTGGCTTGAAATTTGACCTTCTTCAGAAGGATACAGCCCGAGAACAACATGTCCATGAACTGGCAATATGCCGCTCCTGAAAAACACAAAGATGCATCAATATATGTGTTGTCTTCTCATTCAGGTTGAGCAGTCTTTGAATGAAGCTCTACCTGAACACAGCTGTTCGATCTTCGTGTAGGTGAGGTGCAAAGAATCGTTGACCCATGCCAGCATGTCATGTCTACTGAGGTTGTCAATAGACACAGACGTGGCGTACACATTCACAGCCATCCCCTCCCTGAAACAAACGTGAAAAGAGAGAAAATAAGACTTTCAGTTGGATGTTTTTTTTGCCTTTTATCTAAGGCTTTACATTTATTGTCTAAAAGTAAGTTTACAATATTTCCAACCGATAGCTTCGTCATTCTTTGATTGACCACAGTGTGTCTAAATGGATATACACAGCTTGCTACTATCATCCTATCCCAACATTCAGAAAAATGCAGAAGTGATCTACTTAGGCTGCAACTAACGATAAACCTAGAAATAATATATATATATTATTGTCTTGAACAACAACTTACAATAATAAGGTATATAATAAGGACCAATAACAATAAAGTGACAAAGTTCTAACTTTCTAAACAGTTTAATACCTTTTTAATAATGTTGTATTTGGACACTGCTTCTTTTAACTTATTTGGCACATATAATAATAAATTATCAAAATACTTGTAGATTAATTTAGTTACTGTTGAGTGATTGACTGATTGTTTAATCTCTAGAGTTTTTAAAGACCTCCTTTGCTGGACTCATTTAATACAACCCATGTCTTGATTATATTGTCCTGGATATGTAGGAGGATGTTATGCAGTAGGCCTAGTATTAATCTGTATACACTGTTCAACTCTTTGGTGGGGATTAGTGTTTCTTTGTATCCCAAGGTTGTTATTGGTGGTTATCTTTGCGCAGTGACATTGGTGGTCCTGGACTTTGATGAGAAATAGGCTGCTCTAGATTTTTGCCTGTAAACACAGTGCCTGACAAGCATCTTTAGTTTCAATTTTAATCTACAGATGTGTTGAGAGCATAATCCCCCCTAGATTAAACAGAAATATCATGATGTTTGTGAGCAGCTTTACACATCTGGCAGAGGCACACTTCTCTCTGCTCACTTTCCTGCTAATACCCCCGGTGGAGTTGTGTCAGAATGGGCCTTGACATTCCCTGCAGTAAAATGTCACATTAATGGTATTTAATATTAACACAATAATTAAATACCAGGTCACACGCCGCACTGTGTCTGCATGAGCCACACAGAAAGATACATTTTAGTAGCGTTTCTCACATAAAAACACTATAAAACGCTTATCTGTAGTGTAGGCGGTCCTTCATGGTGATAACAGTGATATTATTGTGACTGCAGCTTCAGCAGCGTGCAGCAGTGTCCCATGGGGCTTTGCTAGCTTACAATTATGTGCTTATAAACTACAACAAACAATAAAACGTGTGTATAGGACCAAACAATGCAGGCTGGGCTACATCCACAGACACATTCCTTGCAGTTTGTGCATTTTCTAATGAATATTTATTATATCATCACAACAAGAAAGGAAAGTCTATTCTGCTAAAACCGTCCGGGCCTCTTCTAGAAACTCCGGTGAGGACTGCAGCAAAACGTTTGGTGCAAAACCCGAAAACTAACAAGCAGCAATGGGGCGGGGGTCCGGCATTTAAAGCCCGAGCTGAGAACAATAAATGCCCCGTTTGCTGGGTGGCTTTCGGTTTTAAAAAAAAAACCGCAACGCTGGTGCTGGTGTTCTCCTAGCGGCCCCCTCTACAGGCCTCCCCGAATAGCTCAGGACTGTCAGTGCACGGGAAATATCCTCTCTGCATGGGAATAAAAAACACGCTCCCCCGGACAAAAAGAGAAACACACTAAGCGAGAGCGCGTGAACTGGTTATTTAGCGCTTTGATACTCACTGTTTTCACGGGTGTGTGTGTTGTTATCACGCTGGCTGTATTCCTTATGTCAATGCTCGCTGCTGTCGTCGTTGAGCCAGTGCGCGGTGCAGTGCTTGGTAACGGGCCGCCCTGTCTGGGACTGCAACAATCCTGCACCTACCGCGCATGCGCATGACTCCACGCTGTTAAAGGTTCATTATAAATAGGACTTTAGAGCTAAGAGACACATCATGTGTCTGTTGGGTTTTAGGCCTGCCGGTAACTGAGAGTTTATTGAAGTCAGGCTACACAAAAACACCTTCTGTTATTGTGTTTATACATGATGCTGGATTTAAAACTTGTCATCAACAGAGGTGATATTCAGATAATTCAAAGTTAAATTACAACAGTAATTTGTAATGTAACAACCGTTAACATTGATTTTCTATAGTGATTTATCTGGCAATGATTTAGTCAATTCATTGTTTTGGTCTAAAATGTCACAACAAACAAATCCGTCCAGCCCTTACAATTTATTAAGGCTTTTCATATACATTTCATATAAAGGAACAATACAAATAAATGTTTTTTCGTTTTTTGTTAAAGCCATACACAGTTGAAATTAGTTCCCAAACTAGACATTGCTTTTTGTTTGTCAAATAAAGCTGTGAAATTATGAAGTGAACAAAAAAGTACAATATTTTTTTCTAAAATATAAATAAGTATCAGTACAGTGTAACAAGTTTTACAGTCCAAGTGCAGTAAGTGAGTAAATGTTACTTTCCAATCAGACACAGGATTTAGTTGGAGATTTCATTGTGGTTTATTTGCACTCAAATCATGTGATATAGAGCTGCAAGGGAAAAACAAGAGATAAAAGGAATTAAATGTGGTAACACATTGTTCAGCACCGGTGTACATTTGGGACAGGAGAAGATTCACTAGAGCTTCTAAAAGTCACATTTGTACAAAAAACAAACAATGATGTAGGAATGTAACTGTAGAGTGAGGATCTTCTGTTAAAAATAATCAAAATCGTGTGTGCATACCTGCTTTACACTACAGGTTTTACAAAAACAAAACAAAATCACGTACAAAGACAATTATTCACAAGAAATACTCTGTAACTAAACAAAACAATAAAAATACAGTAGTAGTATCAGTGCTTTTCCTTAGTTGCTCAACAAGCATGCCTTCCAGTTATAATGCGTTCAGTGTCCTACAGTGTGATGGCATTTGATACCCTGACAAAATGGCCTTCATTGACTAACATATCTGCTTAAATCAATTCCACTCTGTGAATGCTGAAGAGGATCCCATCATCTTCACTTTAAGCATCACAGTAGGGCTGGGCAATAGGGAAGAAATCATGTATCACAATATGTTGGGCCAAATACCTCACTATTGTGACATATTGTAGGGTTAACCATTGATGCTTTCACAAAAAAGTGAGAATTTTGATAATTATCACCAGTAATGCGGATTTAAAGACTAATCAGGTAAAGGCAAATAATATAAAAGCTAAAGAACAGTGCGGTAAATTGAGAAAATGTAACTTTAAACCAGGAACAGAAAGCTTACAATAACCAAATTCTAAAACCACATGTAGTCACATATCACGATATAATATTATTGCCCAGCCCTACTTCACAGTGGTGTAATTGTCAGAGGAATATGTTACACCCTGCCTTTCAGACCAGTACAAAATGACCAAAGGAACATCATGATCTGTGTCTGGCGATGTGTTTGTGGGTGTCAGTGTTCTCAGGTGAGAAGAAGGCAGTTTGGGTGAGACTTTTTGCTCTCTGTGGTGAAATGGATACGTTAAAAAAAAATGCATCGCAACATTAGTGCTTATTACAGTAGTTCTAACTATGCTACCATGCACACAGCATAGGTTCATTCACATTTGGTGGGGGTGGAACAGACGTCTATTCGGCTATAAGGCTGTAAACATGATCGGAAATACTTATCGGTGAATAATTAACTACTGAACCAAGACCTCGTTCTTATTTAGGAAATATTTCTAACGCGGTAGCATCGACGGAAAATAGCACAATACAATATAAATAATCAATAAACAAACGCATAGAAAAGGTTAGCTTGCATTATGATACTTCAAATTGGTCAAATATTTTTCATAACTGACATTATAATGTCATGTTCCTTGTAATAATTTATTACATGTCATTCACTGAGGCTCGCAGTAAGAAGGACATTTGTGATATTTGTGACATTAAATCATGTAAAAAGGCATCTAAATAGTACATGATACAAGTGCAAAATCGTATTTTACAGTGAGGTAACACAATCGCATCATAAAAACCATGACTCACCTCTATACTCCTAAAACTATTAGTAAGATATTTCCCCTAATGTAATCCAACAGCCAAAGATATTCATTGGCAACACTTTTTTAATTTGCTGCTTATATTTGGTTAACAATTGACTCAATTTTTGGTAACCAATAATAGTTTGATCGATATTCAAATATTGTTACGGCAAATATCCTACAGTTTAACGTGTCCTACGTTACTGTGCTGAGTTCAACATACAAACTCCAGAAAGAAAAACAAGTTGTCTTGCTTGGCCATATGTTTCCCTCAGGTGTCGATCTTCAGCGTCACTTCTGATTGGTTACCAGATTCCGCTGGATCTCCCTCCAGGAGGAGCGAGGATCCTGGCCGAGGACCTCTTAGGAATTTTGTCATCGATCTGGGCACCTGGAGCAGAATATGATGGTGTCCAGGGTTCAGCACAAGGTATTTCTAACTAAATCATATTTTCTTGAAAAGGGTTGTCTCGAAACAGCTTTAAATATAATTTATTCTCATTCCATTTAATTGGATGTAAAAGTATATTGACATGGAATACGGCCATTTGTTGCTCGAATAATACAAACAGAAAATAATCCAATAAATCCCCAGGCATCAACCCTTTGTACATTTGATGCAAAAAGCTATCTACTGTCAAATCTGTCTAATTAAGAAATAACATTTAAAAAATATATATTATTTAAAAGTGTACTAGGCAACTCTTGGTCAGAATGTGTGTTCATGTGAGGAATATATCTGAAAACCAGGAGGGGTAAGCCTTCTGTTCTGTATACCTTTTGAGGTGCCAAGAATTACTCAACTACATTTCTCATATCTATGGCGCCCTCATCAGGCTAAGTGGTGTATGTTAACATTTTTAAAAAGCCAAAAGGTGCCTCAGTCACAAGACACACAGCATCTCAACAGGTGGAGAAAAGAATAGCCAAAAAAGATATCTCTATCACATTCCTGGTGACATCATATGCAAGTTAAAATGGAAATGTTCACGGATATCTGAATGAATCTGCTGGTTCTTACCAGACAGGCTGAAGCTGGACCCTTGGAGGTCCCTCACGCCGCCATGCCGAGTGGAGGGGCGCGTCGGAGTGTCCAAATCTGAAACCCCAAATTCCCTTTTTCCTGAGTTGAGCACCGGGACTACTTCACCAGTGTAGGGCTCTCGTTCCACAGCTTTCACAGCCTGGCTCTGGAAAGTCAACGTGGTAAGACAAACAAATGAACACAATCAGGTTAATGAACATTTGTAAGCAAACAAACTTGTTATGGAATAGTTTTATACCTAGTTATAAACATGAGTACTAACTATTTATTTTCAACTAGAAGAAGTATTACAAGTAAAAGACCAAAAGTAGCTCTTCTGACAGCTAAGATTGCAGATTTGTAGGACTACAGTTGGTCTGCAAGATTTCATTTAAGATTGAACAAAGAGAGGTTTGAAAAGCTTTGAAGTTTGATGATGAAATAGAAGGAGAGAAAGAAAAGAGAGACAGTAGGTAGGTAAAACAAGTGGAAACCAATAAAAGGAAAACTAAATTAAATTAAAGAAAGGAATGAGAGAGAAAGAAAGATGGATAAAAGAAGGACAGAAAGAAGAAAAGAAGGAAGGAAGGAATGGATACAAAATAACTAAACAAATATGGGAAAAAAGAAAAACAAAGAATGAAAAGAATGAAATAAGTAACAAAGAAAGAAGGAGTGGAGCAAGAAATAAATTAATAAAGGAAGTAAAGATGGTCATGTCTGATACCTTTTCCCTCTGCACCATCTTCTTGTAGAGGAGATCTGGGAAGGTCCTCAGGGGGCAGAACTTCCCCGAGCCCTCAGCACATGTAAACATCCCGTTCTCATAGACCACACGGCCCCGGCTGATGGTGACCAGCGGCACGCCATGACAGCGGAGACCCTCATACAGGTTCACATCTCCTCCCTGGAACTGGTTATCCACAGAAATGGTCCTGCAGACAGAGATGGAAAGAGAAGAAGAAAACCCAGTTCATTCAGAAACCCAATCAGCTTCTAGTGATTGGAGATAAAAGCTGCTGTGAGGCACGCTGGTCGATGAATGGATGGATAGAGTTTCATACTTGGATCCCTCGGGGTCCCAGACCACAACATCAGCGTCTGCTCCCGCGATGATCCGACCCTTCTTCGGGTAGAGGTTGTAGATCTTGGCTGCGTTTGAGCTTGTGACGGCAACAAAGCGATTCTCATCCATCTTACCTCCAATCTGGGAATTAAAGAAAAGACAACACTTGTGTTTGTAACCTAAGAGGGACAGTGCACATTATTAAACATTGTTGTATATGCCAAGTTACTATTTATTATCTGTAGACACTGAAAAATGTTTTCAGGCACCCTAAAACAAATTATAATATAAAAAAAAAAAATATAGAAATAATTAAAACATGCTAAATTACTTACAATAAAGGACATGCCAAAAAAAAAGATAAAAAAGGCCATTGTTACTGAAAATATGGACTTAAACATCTGACTGAAACAACTTATGCACCAAAAGCAGAAACATATATTTGTTCTGCCCTTAGAGTCGTTATTTTCTCCTTAGAATCGATAACCACCAATACAAAACAGATGCTCTATTTTTGGGCGGTTTTCTAGCAGCCACTCGGGAACAAAAGAGCTCCACATACCACTCCTTTCTCCCAGATGACGCTCATGCGATCCTGAATGCCGGGGAGCCCGTGGGGGATCTTTGTGAAGTCATCCTTACCCATCGCTCTCTGTTTGGTGGTGAATGGACGGTGGTCCGAGCCCACAACATTCAGAGTGTCGCTGCGGCCAAACAGAGTGAGATC